TTTTCAAAAGGCAATAGATTATTGCAATTGTTGTACCTACAATTTAAAAAATCTACCAACAGATAGAGTTTCTGAGAATGTTTTCATACCTTTCTCTGTGGAGGTAGAACTTGAGATGAAATTCTCTAGGAAGGGTTTCATGTGCTGTTGGACTGTTTAAAGAAAGGTACCAATTTTCAATTTGCTTTGCTGTTGCTCTGTGAGGTGGTGTCTGCGATTTGCTTCTCAGTGGGCTCTGAGAGGCCAGTGGAAAATACACAGTATTATACTGACTGTAGAGGTGTTGCCTGTGTTCTTGGCCACTTCGCAAGGCCCAGACTCCACCAGGACCCAGAGGAGAAGCACTCTTGGGCTTCACCACCAAGGAAAGCAATCATGGGTTTGAGGACGTAGGATGCTTTTAGTTTGTAGCTTCTGCACATCCTGGAGATGATCCCTTCCTCTTGATATCTGTCACTACAAAGTTCACAGTCAAGTTCACAGCTTGTATTTAATAGATGTGTAGCTCCTTTGGGGCAAATTTTGTGTGCTAAATGCGATTTTATTTTATTCCTCTTTCCTCATCTCTCGTCTCTGATCTCTCATAGGGTCATCTTGTAGTGTGGGTTTTTACAAGCTTCCTTAAATTATTTTAGATTAAGAGACTGTAGTGGCTGCTGGAATATGGTGCCGAAATCTCCCTTCAAGACCAAAGCCCTTGTTTTCCCAATGGCCTGCTGACTGCTCACAGCCATGTCCCTCTCCAGGAACTGTCCTCTCTGTGTCTGAAAGGAGCTCTCACCAAAGGCCACGCCCTTTCTGGGGAGCAGTTTGTATCCAAGGACTGGTCCGTGGTGGGCCTAAAGCCCAGCAAACTTGCCTCAGCTGGGGACAACTCAGCCCCAGAGCCATCGAAGTCTGTTTCTCAGGGAACCTGACCCATAGCAGCTGGTGCCTGCAGTGAGCTGAGGAAGCAGATTCAAAAAATGGGCTTTTAGAGCCAGGGAGCTACTAGCCTGCTGACAGTGAAATGGCCCTCCGAGGTGGTAGGTGGGGTGTGACTGCTCCTGGCTTGGCAGGGTCATATTGGTAGAACCTTCGCAGGGAGGGGGCTGGGCTGGGGTGCCGAAGGAAGGAGGCCATGGTGGGTACCATATCTAAGGTATTTAGAAGTTTGGTAAAACTTTAAAAGTTAGAAATTATAAGGTTATTGATGGAGGTGTCAATGCATGAAAGACAATGAAAGGCTGAGGCTGATTAATCACCAATGTATAGTTAAGTGTGGAAAGAAGATGCCTCCTTGGCCATATTTAGAGACTTATTTCCTCCAATCAGAGGGCAGAAAAAGCCTTTGATTTGACCACAGACTTAATCATGAGTAGGGAAGCCATCTAGAAGACAGAAATCTCAACCCTGATAGGTCTGCTTTGCAAAGCTTAGGGTCCTGATTAGGTGAGGGGTGGGACCAACACTTGGGATGGGGATGTCTGGGTTGATGCACCCCAAATTCCTAAATTTCTGCTGAACCCTCTAGGCCTGCACAGTGGGCCCATTCTTCCCTGTTAACATCTAGCACTGCCCTCTAACCCAAGGCTAATACAGAGATATTTGCCTTCAAGGATAAAATGCCTTCCACCTCCAATCAAGATCTGCCTCCACCTTCTGTCCTGGACTCCAGGTCAGTAACTAGGGTTTAGCCACGACCTGAACTGGCCTGCTACGGGCTGGGCTTGCAGAAGGAGCAAAGGGACTATGCCACCAAGGAGCTGCAGGACCTTGTCAATCTGTCCAAGCAGGACTCAGCTCAGGAGAGTATGCATGGGATAGGATTCTTAGCTACTGGATCCGGAGAGGCAATGGGGGAGCATAAAACTGGGTAAGGAATAGTTTACTGGTAGGGGAGCACTCTCCCCTGATGCAATATTAGACTTCTCGCTAGAAATCTGGGAGATGATGCAAACACAGCTTGCATGGTTCTTGGCAGTTAGTAGAAAGCAAAGGCATACACTAAATGAAACAGAAAACCTGTAACAGGCATGTCAGGTGATAGCAGAAGGGCTCAAAAGGCTTAGGGAAGTAGGCATATTAGACTGGATATACTATGTATATAGAGGGTACCAGAAAGTCCACCATCTGACTATGTTGCAAAGGGGGTCCTAGAGGACAGATCACCTAAAAGCACTAAGGAGTGCCCTGGGAAAAGGACAGCAGCATTGCTAAGATGATCGGTAGTAGCTGTTATCCATGGGCAGATGGTGGATGCTGTTCTGGAAATGGGCTTCCTGACTGCAGCGGGCCAGGTGGTGGAGCTTAACCATCAGAGCAAGGTGCCCTTGTTTTACTGACCAGCAAGATTAGAGTGGAGTGTCAGGGGTGGCTGAATGTGCAAAGAGCAGAGAAGGTGGTTAATAAGATCTGGAGTCCCTTAAAGTAGGACGGAGGGGCAGCCTACAGAAGCCTTGCTCAATGTACACAATCAAAAGAAATGATATTTGGGTTATCAGGAGGCTGAGGGCAGCTACCCTGGTAAAAACTCAGACTGCCTTGCCCATTTTCCAGACTCAAACCAGTTATCTGATGGGAACCTTAGTGAGGTTTTACATCAACTACCACGGTCACCCCTGCATTTCCATCAGCCCGCACCTATGGCTGCCTGGGTGTTCCTCAGGACCAGCCACCAGAACAGGCAGAACGCTGAGCTCAGTTCTCAGGTGGGTTGGTTTGCTATGTGGCTGCAGGGTGAAAATGGACTACTGCTGTATTATAATGCACTCAGAGCTGACCCCGCAAGACAGTAGTGAAGGAAATCCATTCATTGGTGCCCCAGTTGGAGGATTTTTCCATAATTCTCGTTAGTAAGAAGTGCATCACATAGGCATCCCTACCTGCGACGGAGGTCAAGAGTTTGGTCAGCTGATGAGTGGGAATGGTATTGCTATCCTAGGCTGGATCATCATGACGCATGACCTTCATACAACGCAGAGCCCCAGTACACAGGCGGTACAAAAGCAAGGTGAAGGGGGAACGGCTGTTAGGTGGCAAATGCCAGGATCTGTTACAATGGTCCTCATGAGATGCTTTAAGAGTGGATGGCAATTATTTTATGGAGAAGATTTTCCTTCCTGCTTCCAAACTTACTTCTGACTGCACTTCCAAAGTGAGCATTGCATCATTCACCAGATAGTGTGGTAATACTATCTTTTAATAGCAGACATTTCATTATTGGGTGCTTATCAGCTCATAGTAGTGACAGAATGCCTGAGAGATTGCAGCTGCGTGCCCATGTGATTGCAGCCATCTTATCAGTTTCATAGCAGCTTTCATCATGTCCAATTGCTCAAAAGGCATATATTGATGCTATTATTGACTAACATGTGTGAGACAAAGGGAAAGATTTTCATGGATGAGATTGTCCTGTCTCCTTGCCAATGGCTTTCCCCAGATCTGTGTAATAATTTTTCTTCTCTGTCTCTAGTTTTAACTCTTCCCCAGAGCCACCCTGCGTTCCCCAGGTAGAGGCAGCCCTCCCCTGTCTGAAGTCATCAGTCTTCATGACTGGCATCCTTACTGGGTTTTTACCATGTGCAGCCTGATATGCTGGCTGCTCAGATAGCATTGGACTTGGAGTCAGAAGATGACAGTTGGACCCAGGCCCTACCCTGGACAATCTGCTATAGGTCAGGTCATTTTGCTTCTCTGCAACCCTTACCCAACAGGGTAGAGGTGAGAGGTGGGCAATGTGGAATCTCTGTGACATTTCAGAACGTTGGGCATCTGTCACCATCCATATCTGATTCTCCTCAAGACGATCCTCATCACTTGGGATCAAATATCTTGCTTTCCCCACGAGCATCTATAAAAATCACATACAAATGGTCCTCAGTAAATACTTCTTGGCTGATCATGGTTAATTTCTCTTTAGGAAGCTAATAGGAGATGGTCCTTTAAATGGATAAAATGGGATTTATTTAGAACTGCTTTCTCAAACTCATCCTGGCTGTGTTGCGATGTCCTGGCTCTGGAGCTGACTGTCTACTCTACTCACTGACTGCATCCACGGGCAAGAAACTTAGCCTCTGAGAACTCAGGCTCAGCAGGCAGACACCCCTCAGCTAGAATGAGGAAAACATTGCCCACAAGGAGTTAGGTGCCTCTTACCTGTGAGACCAATGCATCAGCCTCTGGCCCCATCGGGACACTTCTCATAGCTTATTGTAAGTTCCCTTGGGACACCTGGGGGGTAGGCACCATGGCTTGCTCATCCTCAGTGACTGTGCCCACCTAAGGGAGCTTACAAGACAGAGCTGACCTGCAAAATGTTTGTCTCCCCACTTTTCTTTGTGTCCCCTCTGAGACCTGTTCTGTATCCAATCTGGACATTCTGATGTCTCTTTCACCCTCTTTTTATGTAAAACTTTAGACTCAACAAATCCCTATGTTCACTTCCATTGATGAAACCCAAAACCGGGGGTCAACACATGGTAGAGATAATTTTTAGGAGGCAAATGTCTGTGCTTGATGTAGACTCAGGCTGGATTAACACAATACCAGCTGGATGAAAATGGAAGGGAAAATCTTTAAAAGAGGCCAGTTCAAAACCCCTGGACATGTGGTTCCCTTGGATGCAGCCAGGGTGTGGAGTGAGTTTTCTGGGATTCAAATGCTTCAACCTTTTGTTCAGATGAAGGCTGTGGTTAGAGTCACTTGGGGTCTTGTTTTCTCCAGACTCTAATTCCCCACTCACCTTTTCTAAGACTCATTTCCCTGCTCTTTAATCATTTTTATTGCTTTTCCCTGGGCCATCTCCAGGTCTTGGCATCTCTCTTAAAATGTAGAGGCCACAGACTGGGTAAAGAACGTTAATGAGGAGAGCAACAATGTGGAGTTCATTAGGAGGATTAATTCCTGGCCCCTGCATATGCTGCTAATTCATCCCAGCTTTTAGAGTTACGCTCAGGAGGCTCCCTCGCATTCGGGCAGTGGTCTTCCATGACCCTCTGTGCTTTCGCCGCTGTGCTGTTCCCGGGCATACCATTCTGCAGCTCAGACCTCCTTGGTTTGGCTTTTGCTTCTGGTAAGACTACCTTGTATTATAGTCATTTGATTTGGCTGAAGTGCTTTTATTTTAAGACTGAATTCTCACTAACAATCTGCAAACTGCCCGTGGATTCAACAACCTTGGCAGCAAAAATAGTCAAAGAAGCTCAGTGCCTGTTGCTTGAAAACACAGGGCAGAGAACGCTAGGAGCTGCTTGCTCTGTCCAGGCTGCACAGTCATTGGGCTGACCTGGACCTTCCCTAGCAGGCAGCCTCACCCCATGCTGCTGCAGGAATTATGTTTTACCAGTCTAGACTGGCAAAAGCCAGCAGTCTCCATGACCTTGGTGGCTGGTATGGAACTGGCCGCTGTGGATTTGTAAAAAACAAATGGTGAAAGGCTGTACTTGGCACTGTCTTATTCCAACGGTGAATGAAGAAGAAAACATGGCTTTAAATTGTGTCTATGGAAAGGCCACGGGCGGGGGTTAGGGAGTTGCTTTGTCTAATATTATAGAGAGTTCTCTGCTAAGTAAAGCAAAGATGCTGCCTGGGGACAGCAGACACTGGCTGTGGTGGGTCTTACCTGAGTGGGTTGTGTCAGGGGCTGGGGAAGCGTCAGGTCAAGGATGAGCCTTGCCAGTTCAGGGCTGCCGAATGCAGAGACTGAGCTTGGCCTGGGGGCCAGAAGTCTCAGTTCTCACCAAGGCCTCTGGCCTTCTACCACCTATAGCATTATAGCCTTTTTTCATTTGTGTGTGTTTTTTTATATGAATGCGTATCTCTCAGGGTTGTTGTGAGGGTCAAACAAAACAGTGGAGGGTCAAACAAACAGGGCTTTGAACATGCTAAAGGATTCTACAGCAGCAGGCAAAGCTTCCGTATCAGTTCACATTAGGTTTGGCGGCACATAGAACAAAACCCCTAAATCAAATGGGCTTAAACACAAAGCAAATGCTTCCATCTCATGCAAAAGGGCAGAGGTATGTGTTACTGGGCAGGTGTGGCAGGTCCACGAAGGCATCATCCTCTCAGCCTGCTTTCAGTTTTGCTCCATGTGGCCTCATCCTCATGGCCCAAGATGGCTCTTAGGGTTCCAGCCATCACACCCCAGAACCAGAACCAGACAGTAAGATGATGAAAGGGGAGAAAGGAGGGCATGTACCTTTCTAGTAAGAAGATTTCCTGCAAGTTGTGTAGAACACCTCCATTTTCATCTTGTTGACTAGTGTGTAGTCACCCACCATATCCAGTGTCAGGGTGACTAGAAAGTGGGTATTTTGTCTGGGCAGCATTGTGTCCACCTAGACATTAAGCTTCAGTAGCTGGGGGGAAGAGGAAGGTGGGCATTTTGGAGGAAGCTAGCAGTGTCTCCCCCAGAGAGTATCTTGTTAATAAAAGTTAAAACGTAATTTGTACCTTTTTGGCCTTAGAGAGCCATCTCATCTCCATGGAGTGGAGCAGTCAGTTCATTCTGATTTTCTTTTTTACTCTGACACAAAGGGAGGTTTGCACACTTCAGTCATTCATATAACACTTCCATTGTGTGTACATGTTTGCCACAGAGCAGATGATTGTGGGCGGGGAAAATACATGACCTCTAAAGACTGTGATTTTTTTGTTTTTTGTTTTTTTGTGCGGGGTGGGAGATACCTAACAATTGAAGAAAGCTGGGGGAAATAAAAGCATTTTCTCAAATCTGGAAGTACCTCATTTCACCATTCATTCATTCACTCAAACATTTGCTGACCACCAACTCTCTATCAGCATTGGGACATCATAAAAGAGAGAATTATAGTTTTTATCCACAAAAATTCCCATTATACAGGGAGAAATTGATTCTTAAGCCTGTGATAAAACCAAGTGAATAAGTTTGACAGGAGAGCCTCATAAAATTCCAAGGGCAAATCAGAGGTAACTAGGCCAGCTGGGAGAACTGGCCAGAGATTCAGCAGAGGACCTGCCAGGAGTGGGTGTGAGGTTCATCTGGAAGGAAAGAGGGGCTTGTTAACAGAAAGGCAAGGGCACAGCCCTGGAGGTAGGAAGCCCTGTGGTGCCTTCAGTGTTGCTCAAGCTCTGAAGAAGACCTGGGTGGGTGGAGATGACACAGTGTAACCTCACAGAACCAGCTCCTTGTGGGTGTTGAGTGCCATGCAAGGAACCAGGCAGTTCCAACAGGGTGGCCATTCAGTGTGGGCCACACCAGCACCTTAGGGTGGGTGGAAGATATTTTAGGGAAGAAAAACATCTTGGGGTCAACTGCACTTGAGAAAAGCAAGAGTCAAGAAGTCAGGCAGGCCTCTTTATGGGAGAATATTTATATGTTGAACGTGTAGGATGCATAGCTGCCGTTTTCAATTTGTATTGTTTATCCTGTCTTTTTTGACCATTACTGACTTTTTTTGTGTTATCTATTTTCTACTGTTTTTTTAAAACTTCCTTGATGTTTGTTTTACTGTATATTTTTATTTAATTTGTGATTGCCCTGGGGATTACAGTTAACAACTTACTAGAATCTAGTTTATGTTAATACTAACTGAATTACAATAGTATACAAAGACTTTGCTGCTATTCAGCTCTGTTCCCTCCCTCCTCCTTTGTGCTGTTATTACTATAGAAATCATATCTTTATGCATCGCATGTCCATCAACATAGATTTATAATTATGACTATGTGGTTTGTTTTTAAATTAGATAGAGTTATAAACACATGTATATTTTATATATTTTATACATTTTATATTTTATACATTATACATTTTATATTTCCCTGTGTAAGTTCCCTTTCCTGGTGCTCTTTATTTCTTCATCTGTATTTGAGTTAGCTTCTAATGGCCTTTAATTTCAGTCTGAAGGACTCCTTTTTAAGCCGGTCTAACAATACATTATTTCAGTTTTGGTCTGTCTGGGAAATGTCCTAATTTCCTCCTCATGGTGGAAGGATAATTTTGCTGGATATAGAATCCTTTGTCAACAGGTTTTTTGTTTGGTTTTGTTTTCTGTCAGCACTTTGACTATGCCATCCAGTGTCTTCTGGCCTTTATGGTTTCTGATGAGAAATCAGCTGTCATTCTTATAGAAGACCCCTGCACATGACAGTTCTCCTCTCTTGCTTTCAAGATTCTCTCTTGGCCTTTGTCTCGCAACAGGTTGATTATGATGTGTCTGGCTGTTTACATCTTTGGGTTTATTTATCCTACTTGGACTTTGTTGAACTTCATGGGTGTGTACATTAATTTTTTCCACCAGATTTGGGAAATTTTCAGCCATATGCTTTCATGTATTCTTTTTGTCCCTTTCTCCTTCTGGGATGTCACATATGCTGGTTTGCCTGATGCCCCACAGGCCACTGAGGCTTTGCTCACTGTCTTTATTCTATTTTCTTTCTGTTCTTTTGGCTGATAATATCAATTGGCCTATCTTCAAATCTGTAATTCTTTGTTCTACAATCTATTCCTGTATAGAGAATTCTTCATTTTGGTCATACAATTTCTACCCCCTTATGAATATTCTTTATTTGGTGAGAAACCATTTTCATACTTTCCTTTAGTTTTTTAGACATGATTTCCTTTAGCTTTTAAGGCATATGTAAAATGGCTGATTTAAAGTCCTTGTCTAGTAAGTCAATGTCTGTGCTTCCTCAGGGACAATTTCTATTGATCACTTTATTTCCTTTAAAGGGTCATACTTTTTGTTTCTTTGCATACATTGTAATTTCTACTGAAAACTCGCCATTTGAAATAGCATAATGTAGGACCTCTGAAAATCAGATTCTCTCCTTCCCCCAGAGTGTATTGTAGTTGTTGCTTTTTATAATTGTTTTTGTCTATTTAGTAACTTTTCTGAACTAGTTCTATAAAGTCTGTATTCTTGATCATTTGTGGCCATTGAAGTTTCTATTTGCTGTGCTTAGTGGTCTGCTAATGATCAGATGGAGATTTCCTTAAATGTCTGTAATCAGTAAATTGCCTTTGGTCAAATACTTCCAGCCTTGCAACTGGAGTCTTCCAGAAAACCACCAGACAGTCTGACCAGACAGGGTCAGATAATGTCAGTTCTTTGAGGGAATGAGGCTTTGAAAGAGCTCCAGTTCCATTTTACTCCCTCTTGTGGCTTTTAGGCCACACTAGGAATGTCAGTTGTTACTTCAACCCACATTCAAGGCTGCTGCAGAGCTGGTAAGGGAAGGATGGGACTAAGGCAAGTTAGAAACTCAGAGCTCACTGTTCTTAGTACAGTTCAGCTGTTTTATAAATATATGCTTCCCCAGGTGTTGCAAGCCTTTGGTTGATTTTTGGAGTTCTGGAAAAAGTCGACACTGGCAGTTTTTGTCAACTCTCTCATTACGTCTGGAAAAGAGAATTTGTGGAAGTCTTTGTTCCAGTGTTTATGCTGACTTCACTCATTAATTTTTCTTTAACATTAATCATTTAAACAGTAGTCACAATTAGTTGTCATATGAACATTGAGCTATGGAGTGTAACTTTTTGGGTTCATATCCTGCTTTGCCACTTACTATTGTGACTTTAGTAAAGTTACTTCTTTGGGTCTCAGCATTTTTTAATGAACTGGGCATATTAATGGTACTCACCTAATAGGTGGATTGTGATTCTATAAAATGAGTTAATATGTGGAGAGTTCTCATTAAGATGCTTATCAGAGAATAGGATTTGGTGAATCTTAGCTATTACTACTATTACATTTCTGCACTGTTGATAGGCCAGCTTCTAGAGAGAGATTGATGGAATTCTTTACTGAAGTCATAAATATAATGGGTGATTGATTTAACCAACCTTGCAGAGTTGTTGCAAGGATTAGACTTATTATGTAAAATTTTCAGCTCACGCTGAGTAGGTGCTCATTAAATGCAAACTGCTCCTACAAATTATGGCCTTCTCCATAGTTGGTGAATAGTACATAGCTCTTTGAAGATTTCATTAAGTTTTTGATATGAATATGTGTTTGGATTCAAGTGTATCTTATAACTCACATGAAAGTTTGGGTGAAACTTTTTTTCTGTATGGTATCTGAGTTTTGGCAGAGCTCAAAGACTCAGAAGCATGTATTGGCTGTGATGAGCCTTTAGGCATGGTTATGGCTACATGGACAAACAAGGTTAGCTTAATGTGAGGCCTTAGCATATCCTGGAAACTATTATTAATTCTGAAGACCTTTGGATGTGAGAAGGCGAATGAAAGGACTTTGTGAATAGGATGAAAGCAATTGGTCCGGGGTGGCTCAAAATAGAACAGGTGGCCTACATAAATACCAGCTGTGCATTACGGCCAATTTTATTGCCAGTTCATAATATAATGTTGTCTATGGTTATTTTACAACAATTTTCTTTATTCCTGATATTGCTGTAAATCTTGCCATAAAATGGCTCTAATGCAGCAGAAAGGCTATGAAATGAAATGGGGAATTTGAAGGATCAGTCATTTGTAGTGGAATGGAAAGAAGATGGAGGATACCCAGAGAGAAAAATAAAGGAAAGCCACTGGGAAAAATCAGGGGACCAAATGTCTCATTATGTACTAGAATCTGTACTTTTTAAGTTGTGAAAACAGATACAGCACTTTTTGGATGAATCCACCAGGTGGCACTATCGAAAACATTTCTTATAAGATCCTTATCCCCACACTTAAAACAATTTAGCAAACCTGTTGTTTTTAGAGTAGGAAACAATACTCGTTTGTGGGTGGAGAGTACATGCATGCTTATTATACTATCCTCTGTACTTTGTATATGTGGGCATGTGTGTGATGTAGTTTTTAAACAACGAAAGACCCATTTCTTAAAAGGTACAAGTTCAACTTGGCCAGATTTTGTCAGGGGCAAGTGTAAGCTAAGCATCTCAGTTTTAGGGGTATATTTATGTGTCTGCTGGTTAATACTAGGCGTTTTCTTGTCTTTTCTTAGCCTGGCACTGTATTAGCTTATACTACCAATTTCCTTATCATCCCTACCAAGAGGAGGGGGGCAATTACTAACTGGTCCTCACCTTTGCCACCTCACCTGCAGCTGACCACTGGCTCTGCCCCACTTGATTATCTGTCAGGGTCTGTTTCTGAGTCCTGAAACCCTTGGAAAATTCTCATGGGAGAGGTCCCCACGATTCTTAAATCTATACACCAAAGCACAGCACAGGATTGAGGTCTGAGAAATCGGGGACCCCCGGCCCCTTCTGCCTCTTAACTAACTCACTTATTTCCAGGACCATCACAAGGGTTAAAGAAGATAATATGTGCAAAGTGTTTAGCACACAGTCTGGCACACACTAGATGCTCAGTGTATATAAGAAAAAGGTTTTAAAATATTTACTTGTATTAAACTAATGTGTTTTCAGCAGAAACCCGAAAGCAACTTATTGTCTATCTCTGGTTTTCTTTTTCCTCACTAACTTTTCTAAGAAGCAGGAAAGATGAGAGGAACCTAGGAACTGAGATATAGTATTAATCTTTGTTTATGGTGCCACAGGTGGGCCTTGCCTATGAGCTATGAGACAGTCTGGTGTTTCTGACAGTGAGTTATTGTTGTTTTGTTTTGTTTTACAGTATTCAGCTTTTTCTGTGGTGAGGCTGATGGCTTGCATGTAGAAGGATTAAGCCAAAAATGGAGGCAGGTCCACTTCCTTTTACCTCCTGGGAAAGATGAGAGCAGCCTGTAGGCAATAGTTTTCACTACCCATTTGTCTATCAATCACTTCTGTAAGGAGCACGGATGGATGGGGTATGGAGGCAGGTGATGAGGTACCACTGAATAGTGATGCACAGAAATTTTATCAGAAGTGAGCCCTTGATGGTTGTTTCCGGAAAGCTGGAATGGATGTACAGGCCTTTCTACCCAAGTTGTTTATCCCTCCTGTCAGGCATGGGTCCTGCAGGGGGCAGCTTGCTAAGCCAAAGCCCCCCCACTCCTCTCCCCCAGGCCCTTACCTCACTGACCCCAGGGCACTTTGACCTGTTTGTGAAAGGGAGCAGGACTGATGGATATTGTTAGCAGGTGAGCCATCTGCAACTCCCCTGCTCAGCCTGCCACTGGAATCTTTTCCAGGGGGCCTGCAGGGCAGCCCCGGCTAGTCATCTTAGGGTAGAGAGTTCAGAAAACTGTAGCAAAAGATTTGAGAGCCTGAGGGAAGGGCGGATAAGGTCCCTAAGGAGAGTGTAAACTGCTCCTTGAGGACAAGTGGTCCATTTGCAATTCCAAATACAATAAATATTCAAAGTGGCACCTGGTAGAAAGGATAGAAAGTGGTTACCATGGCAGAACTGGAGCTTATGAAAGATAAAAACTGTACTCTTCACACAAAGCTTTGACTGCATCCTTTGTTCGGACCCCACAGCCCTTACTGGGTACCTGACAGATATGCTGCCCTCATGTGTCCTGTTTCATTTTCTTCTCAACCCCAGGGAAAAAATATTAAATCTATCCATTTGTAACTCTGGGGGGACTATATTTTCCCAGCCTGGGGCAAAATACCTTTGAAACCAAAATCAGTCAAAGGAGAGATAAGGTCCGAGAAACTCATTTATTGTCTACAAACAGTTGTCTCCTTCTGCTCACCTGTGTCTCTCTGTGATCCAGCTGCAAAAAGGGACCCCACCCAACCTCTCAGGTCTATATACACCCTTGCTGCTCCCCCTTTTAATTACCTATTGATATGCAGATGTACTTCTCCACCCCTTGGAAACACCTATTGATATGGAGATGAACTAAGGCCAGGCAAGAGATTCTGGAAATACTGCAATTTTACCCGTACCCTTTGACTCCTTTCTCATGAGAATCAGGTGGAATTCCCATACTGTCCTTGGCTGTTGTTCAGGACTGTGAAAATTACAAACTGCAAAATTTTGAAGTTGGCAGTTATTATAAACATCACAAAATAACATCAGTTTTTATTTTTTGCCGGGCATACTTAGTGATAATTTTTCCCAAATCTTTTGGTTGCATCTTCTTCAATGGCAATTTTGTGATATTTTTAATAGAGAGTGTAATTTAGTCTTTACTAAAAAATAAATAAATGGCATTATTGATAGAGAAGTTTCTTTGAGCTCCCTAGCCTGCTAATCTAAAGAGCACACATAAGTCACTGGTATTGAAATGTAAATGTCTAAGATTGTTGTCAAATTTTGAAATTCCTCTACCAAGTTGCTTACATGTATCGTAAATGAACTGTGAGATTTGGCATAATATTCCACAGACTAGCTTCTGGCTCTGCGTGTTTTTTCTCCACCACTGGCCACACGCTTCTGGTGTTGGGCACACAGCATATCAGGACTTCTGACTGTGTATCTGTGTGTCACAACACTGGTAAGTCCACAGGGCGGATGGTAGGAGTGTCCTTGAAATTTAGTCCTGCACCAGGACATTTATTATTAACTCAACTCTACCAGGAAGTGACTGCAAGTCACATGCACATATTCCACTAAAGCCAAACTAAATGTATCCCCACCTCAAATTTCCCTTAGCTGGACCCCAAAAGTCCTCACAGCCATTCCCCTGCTACCTAACACGATGGGAAGCATGGTAAAGGGGACGTCGGAAAGAGCCCCAGCTTTAACTGATCACTGTTAAAATACCTTAATTTTTGAAAATTTGACAAAAACGTATGATCATGTGCACTCCCTGCTAGAGTCCTTCCTAGAGCTTGTGAAGGGGCCTGTGCAAAGGGAAAACCCTGAGGCTTCTGTTTGGTCAGTTTCTTGGTAGCTCTACCTCTGGGCTCGGCTTGGGGCCGACTTTGCTTTCCGTCAAGTTCAAAGGGAATAAAGGTCTAGACAGTCAAGGCTTTTGAGTTGCTCTTTGTCTTAGTGGCCTGTATTTTCCAGTTCATGTAATAAAAAATAAATTTAAATCATGTTCTAGCACAGAGATGCAAAGCATTCCTACTTTTGGCAGGCCCTGGAACATCACTTAATCAATATTTGTTAATTGAACTGTGTGAATAATTTGAAAGCTAAAGGAAGGAGGTATATCTGATCTGGAGGGTCCCTTGGCAATCATTTCACAGATATGAAGGCCGAGGTCAGGGGACAGGAATGACTAGCTAATGGTGACAGTGAATGACAGAGATGAGGCCAACAGCCAAGACTCTTCTGTCAAATACTCTGCCTTCACAGTGATAATTAAAGATGCATCACAGGTCATTGTGAATTAGGTACAGACTGAGTAGAGATCCATGTATCTAGAAGCTCCAGTGGCATTGAGCTACCATACATTGGAAACTTATTGTAAAATTGATTAATCATTGTTGCTATTTTTTCCAGTTTGTGGGACATAACACCCAGTGCTGAGCCACAATGCCAGGCTGCTTAGGCAGCGCCATGTTTGCACCTGTGGATGAGAAGTCAATAGGTTGTTCTGCCGAGGATGGGCTGGGGCCGCTCTGGAGGAGGGCTGTGGCGCAGAAGACTGGGTTGCACAGTGGTGGGCAGCACAATCACAGAGCACCCTGACCAGGAATGGGCAAAGGGGTCTGTTTCCATCACATGAAGGGGGGAGTTGAAGGTCAGAATCTGGAGTGTGTTCATGAAAGGGGAAGGCTCAGGTCTGAATAGGAAGTTCAGGCTCACGCCCTCAGGACCCTATAGAGCAGAGGACCCACAGGGGGCTGTGCAGGGTGGAAAGGCCAGTGGGCAGTATCCCATGGCCAGGACTGTGCGAGACAAGGGAGAAAAGACGGCTCCTGACAATGAGACTGGCATGACAGGCCTGGTGCAGCATGGGGGTCAACAGTGGAGGTGGAGCTGCAGGAGAGGGTGCAGACACATCCGGCCCACCTGCAAGGAGCCCACTTGGCCTCTCCCAACCTCGGCTTCTTTTAATGTCCAATGGGAAAAATGATGGGGACTCAGCTGATAGGATGGTGATGAGGGTTAAATGAAACAGTGTCCATAAGGCAACTAGCATTTAAAAATAAGAGGAAGGTCATTCTAATCATAGCCAGTGGCTACTTCAACTTTGCTAAGGGCTTTTATAACATGAAACTTTATTTATTATTATTCATGTCATTATTATAATACAATAGGTCTCCATGGCTGTGGATTGGAGTGGGATGGCATGGGACTGTTGTCTCCGTCTGCCTATTAGCATCTTCCATGTCCAGGTGCCCAGGCCTTGCAGGTGTGTGCAGTCCACTCCCCCAGGAGACTCAAGGGTCATCCAGCCAAAGGTGGTGTGGGTAAAATTGCAGTATTTCCAGAATCTCTCACCTGGCCTTAGTAGAGCTTATTATCAATAGGTGTTTCCAAGGGGTGGAGAGAAGAAGTCATCTCCATATCAATAGGTAATTACAAAAGGGAGCCAGGGTGTATCTGGACCCGAGAGGTTGAGTGGGGCCCCTTCTTCTGCAGCTGGGTTGTGAGAGACACGGGTGAGCAGACGTGGATGACTGCTTTTAAGCAATAAATGGGTTTCTCCCACTTTATTTATTCCTTTGACTGATTTTGGTTTCAAAGGTGTTTTGCCCCGGGATTTTCCCTACCAGAGTTGCAGGCAGGGACTCTTTTTAAACAAAGGCTGGGTCATTGGGCTCAGAAAGTCCCTATATCCCTGGGCTTCTGGGGATGACAGGAGATGAAGGAAGGCAGCCTACGTTTACTGTCTGCAGTGTGCAGGCAATGGACTCTGTAGGGACTGCATATAGAACCTCTTTGCAAAACTCTGCAGTATTTCCCCCTGATCTATGGTTTCATTTTTCTTGGTTTCAGTTACCTGCTGTCAACTGTGGTGATGCAGATGATGTCCCTTCTGTGATATATTCAGGTCAGTAGTAGCCTAATGCTACATCACTGCCTACATCATTCCTCTCACTTCATCTCATCACACAGGCATTTTATTGTCTCAGATAATCACAAGAAGAAGGGTGAGTACAGTACAATAAGATATTTTGAGAGATAGACCACATTCACATAACTTTAGCATGCAGTCATAATTGTTCTATTTTTTATTAGTTATTGTTGCTAATCTCTGATGAAATAATTTGCTCAAGTGCAAGGCTGGTGAATAAGCCGGTTTCAAACCTGTGTCCATGTTACTCCCATGCCCTGTGAACTACTGCAGGTGTGAAAAAGGCTGCTGATTCCATCCCATACTCCTTTTTGCACAAAATGATCACTAACTCAGATAAGAAAATGCATTATAAAGTAACCTATTTTGTCAAATTCCTCAAAAAAACCAGTTGGTATTTTGACTGGAAATGAACCGACTCCATAGGCTTCTTTGGCTTGAACTGAATTTTTATGATATTGAATCTTCCTATTCTTAGATTATTGGATTATTTCTTCAGTAATTTAGATGTTGTATTAAAAAATAAAAAGACAAATTCAAAACTCATAGATGTCATAACAACATACTCTTGGAAAAGAATTAATATTTAGCATATATAAAGGACTACTACTATGAATCCATAAAAATAACCAATAGAAAAAAATGGACAAAAGATATAAATAGGCATTTCATATAGATGGAACTATGAATAGTCAACAAATCTAAAAGGGTAAGTTCAATCTTACAGGTAATCAAGAAAATGACAATTAGGGACACCATGGGCCTCTTTTTTTTATGCCTCTTGATTTATATAAATTAGGAAATTTGATAAGATCAAGTACTTGAAATATAAAGAACAGGAAACCTGTACACTATTGTAATGAACGTAATTTGATATACTTTACAAAACATTATCTTATAAACTTGAATGCAAGTTAATATTATGACCCATTAATGCCCTATAAACATTGAAGAAACTCCTGTTTGGGGGCACAAAAAAAGTATGTACAGGAATGTTTTTAGTAGTTTTTGTGGTAGCCAAAACAAGAATAAACTAAATGTCCATCCCTAGGAAAGTGTATATTCAGTCAGAAGAATATTATATATTTGTGAAAATGAACCAACAAATGCTGCTTACTAACACGTATAGTTCGAAAATGAATTTCTCAGAACTCAAGTCAGTAATATGACAACACTTGTATCAAGCTGAAAACCAAACAAACGTAAACAATGCATTGTTTAGGAACACATACATGTATGGTAAGATTATCAAAAAAAATATTAAAAAGAGAAGGGTAAGCATGAGGTTAGGAATAATGGTTCCCTCCAGGGCAGAAGCAGAGCAATCGAGTATTTTCTGAGGTTGGGTGGTGGAATTGGGGATATCATTTCACCAATATGCCTTATCACTCTGACACACATTGTATCTGTGTATATACTATTAAGTATTACATACTCAAAACATCCATTCCCTCCATGCACTCCACTCCTAACACATGACTCTTTTCATAAACATAACCAAATCAGAGCAAAGAAAAAGTTAAATACTGAGGAACGCTTTTGGAGGAGGGAATCCTGTGTGTCAGCCTTTTCTGCACAGTGGCATGTAGGCAGGAAACAGCAACTTGCCAGGGCAGGGAGGGTGTCTCAGCACCGTTCCGATGTGGACCTTCCCTGGAGCCCTGTGTCCAGTCCTTGTCTTTACACGGCTGTGGCCACTTCCTGAGCTCAGAGCTTCTTTGTTTCCATTTTTTCATAATGTTCTCCTTGCAGGAGTTAGAGGGTGGTAGTCACTGGACGGGTCTGGGTGGGGTCCGAGCACCCATAGCCCCTCATTTCAGCGACAGAGAGGAGACCCACTGAGCTTCTGCCTCCTCTCCTATTCCCTCCCACTTGGCGGTGCCTGGGCTTCTGTCCATGGTGCCAGAGCTCTGCCGAGCCAGTTTCCCCCCCTCCACCCAACCTTCCAGCTTCCAAGAGACGGCAATGCTGTCTTCTCCACAGTTGCTCCCTCTCCTTCTCTTTGTCCTTATTTCATCTTAAAAATTCTTTTTCTTCCATTTTAGTGCCATTTGGGGAAGTCAACTCTCTAGGTTCAACCCACCAATCCTACGAGCTCAGAGTAATTTTGTTTTATTGGAATTTGCCTTTTATTTTATAAGTGGAATAAAGGAAAGAAATTCTGGATCTTTCTTGTGGAAGGTTAAATAAACCACAATGTCCCTTCGGCTTGCCCAGCCCCTCCTGATGCCATTTCCAGGAAGATTGCTGGGTTCTGAAGACGCATTTCTGAAGTAACCATGACATTGCGGTTTTGAACACCACACCACTTCTTCCCCTTCTTCCCCTCCCCACTTTCCTTCTCTTCTTCCTCATCCTTCTTTTCCCAGATTTAAACTTCTTAAGAAGTTAATAATCAGTATTACACTTGCTCTCTGACTTCACAATCATGAGATAGGAATAACATGCTGGCTAATCAGACAGATCACTTTTTGTACTTTATGTACCAGTTTCTCTCTTTCAGAGTAGAATACATTCATTGAATCTGTCTTAAAGGTTATTTTATTCCTTTACATTTTAAGGGGTAACACCTGGCTTCTCATGACAATGACACCCAGTCTAGTGTAACCTTCAGCTTGTGCCTGCCACCTCCTCAGATACCGTGCATGTGACTGAACCTTTTAGGGTTACAGACAAATGCAGAGCTTGAGTTAATTTAGAAAATATCATGCATAACCTGCCCATTCTTTTCTTAACCCCAAACTTGCAAGACGGAAGCAAGCCGTGAGCATGTTATTTCAGCTGTCAGAGTAATGAAACCAGTAACCAAGAGGTGCTAGTAATTCAGGATTATTGAAGACAAAGAAACTTAGCAGGGTATCTGAATAGGTTTGTGTTTCTTTAAGCTTGTATTTCAAAATTTAGTATCATTCAAAGGAATTGTGTAAAGTGGTTGTTTTTGTAACGTATTATGAATATACTGGAAAACCAAAATAGATGCCATTGAAAGCATAATTGTCAATGCAATGGACAAGGTTATGAAAAGTGTACCTGTCATATCCTTTTTTTTAGGTTTTACATCTACACTAATGCTATTTTCCCAGTGACTAATTTTAATCAAATATTTGCTTCTCCTTCTGACCCTTGTGCAGCCATCTTCCGAACCAAGTTGCAAAGAGAAGCATCTAATTAAGATCACATTCATACTTGAAATCTCTCTGTCCAGTGGGAAAAGATACTGTCACTCAGCATTTGGAGTAGGTAATGATATTAAATGTCTTTCCCCATGGGCAGCGTAGTAGAACCATGAGCCCATCTGCATTTATTGAGACTTTAGTCTCTTTGATGGGAGACGGCCAAGGAGTAAGTGGCAGAACTGTCTGAGTTTTTCATTACCCTTTCTATTCCTCAAAAACAGAGTTTAGAGAGCCTGCCATGCTGCCCTCAGTAAACTTGAAATATATTTATTGAGGAGTTACCTACATACATTAAGATTCACTCTTTTCTTGATATTCAGTTCTGTGCATTTTGACACATGGATACATTTGTGTAACAATCACTACCTCATTCCGCAGTGGTCTGTCTTGCCTCTTTGCAGTTGATCCATTTCTTCTTCCCTAGCCTCTGGTAACCATTGACCTGTTTTCTGTCCCTATAGTTTTGCCTTTTCCAGAATTTTGTATGAAATGTGTTATACAGTATGAGTAATCTTTTGTATCTGGCTGCTTTTACTTAGCATAATGTTCTTGAGATTCACCCACATTGTTTCAATATCATTAGTTCTTTTCTTTCTTTCTTCCTTTTTTGGTAGTATTTTATTGTATGAATAAACCAGTTTGTTTATCCATTTACCAGCTGAGGGAAATTTGGGTCATTCTAATTTTGCAATTTTGAATTAAGCTTCTATGAACGTTAACATAAAGGTCTGTGTGGGGATGTATGGTTTCATTTCTCTAGAGTAAATACCTGGGAGTGAGAGTGCTGGGACATATGGTAGGAATGTGTTTATTTTTATAAGAAGCATTTTGCATCACCACCAGCATTAGGAGAGTGAGAGTTGCTCCATATACTCACCAGCTCTAGATACTATTATTTAAAAAATATTCATTTTAATGTGTGTAGTATATGTCATTATGGTTTGAATCCATATTTCTCCAGTGATGCTGTGCATCTTTTTATATGCTTATTTGCCAAATATATTTCTTCTTTGGAACATCTGTTTATATAGTATCTTTTTGGCCACTTAAGAATTGTTTTATTTTCCTATTACTGAGTTTTTAAGAGACCTTTTTATGTTTTCGATGCAAGTCCTTTATCAGATATATGTTTTACAAATATTACTCCCAGTCTGTGCCTTGTTGGATATATTTCTTAGGTTATTTTAATTTCATTATTTACAAGTTATAATGTAAGTCCACTGTTGGAAAGATTAGAGAGAATGTACACTGAAAAATAAGTTCCTTTCCCATGGATCCTAGCAATCTGGTTCCAGAAGCAATCATTATCACCAGGTTTTTTGGAGGAAGGGAGAGGAAGAATATATCCTCTAGAAAATGTTTTTCACAATAACAAAAATGTGCATCTAGTCTTTTTTTTTTTTTTACTCAATACATGATAGTATGTGATCCACACTGTTCTATGTCTTGTTTCTTTTCATTTAAGAGTTCATCTCAGCTGTCTTGCTGTATCATTGCATACAGAAATATCTCACTCTTTCCTAGTGGCTGGTTAGTTTTCCTCTGTGTATATGTTCCATAATTTATATAATTTGTCCCCTATTGGTCTCTAATATTTTGATGTTACAGAGAGTGCAGCAATAAATATATTTGTGCAGTAATACTGCCACTGGAATTACTGAGTTATAGGGTATATACATTTTTAGTGTTAGAAGTTATTTAATTTCCTTCACAGGGGTTGAACCAATGTAAACTTTCACCCCATGAGAATGCCTGTTTCTCCACATCCTTTCCAACATATGTTTTAATTTTTTTTATTTTTGCCCACTTCATAGTGAAAATATGTTAGTTCTTAATTACATTTCTCTTACTAGTGTTGACATAATGTCTATTGTAGTTCCTTATTAGTAAGCTACTTACAGCTTCTGTCCATTTTAGATTGGGTTTTTACTCTTTTCCTTATTGTTTTAGAGTTCTTTGTGGCTTAAGGAAATCAGCACTTTGTGTTATGAATTAAACGTAATCCTAGTTGTTTTTCTGATTACTTCACTTATTGCGTATTTTTCCTTGAAGAAATGTTCATTTTTAAAATTTCAGCTAAAATGTGTGAAAGTGATAAATGATCAGTGAAAGTCAGTAAAGAGAAGTAGGGAGATCCCAGCACACTGAGCATCTGCATCTACTGAGCATGTGTCACGAGTACTGTGTGATCAATAATAGAGTGGGTTACCCCTCTGCTAAACGTGAATGGTATACTGTTTGAATGAGGAGATTAAAGATTATATGCAGAGTGATTTACTCTGAGATCCGTGTTCCCTGAATGGGACAAAGCTGGGCAGAGAACGGAATGACAGCCAGCTAGTCCACAGGCTTGCATTTCCACACGTGGGAGCACTTCATGCCTGGGAGCATCATCCATTGTGTGTGCTTTAGCTGGAAAAGCTCAGGAACTCTTGGCTGGGTCTTAGGGAAGCAACAGGCACTGGTTAAGTCCCTGCAGAAGAGGCACAAGAAACAAGGCCTGCCCTCTCAGAGCACAGGAGGTGGTGAGTGTGGCCTAGAGCCCGAGGCAGACAGACCCCAGAGTTACAGGCATCGGTGGTGAGAGGTCTCCTTGATCAGTGGGTATGACGAGAAACCTCTTGGGAGAAGAATGGGCTCTGGCATTGTGGGGAGGACTTGGTCAGGCGGAGGGGCCAGGTGGGCATCCTTCACAGAGTGGAGAGCCGGAGAGAACACTGCAGGGTATAGATGCAGCCAGCCTTGCTAGGAACTGTGTCCAGAGCCCGTTGATGGACACTCAACCTTGTTTCCTTAGAGTTCATTGCTGTTTTATATCAAATCCTATTACCAAAATTTTGCCACCCCTGGGGGCACCAGATTTTGTTCTAAAAGGGACTTGGACTCTGAAAAAGGTTTCCCAGTGCTTTGAGTGTGGTCAGCATGGCTTATAATCAGCATGGGCCTTGTTAGCTGATGAGGCAGGCCACATGCCCCTGTCACATGGCAAAAAGCCAGTCACATTATTCTGGTTGCTAATTCCCTGCTAGCTTTTTCTCCGCACCAAATACAGGTAAAGGCATAGCTCATCAAGTTTTGTGAAACAGAAGGTCAGGTTTTTCTAGAGTGAGTCTCTGGTCCCAAAGAGAGGTTTTGCCAATGTGTTTTGGAATTAAATGATAACATGCCCAAATGTAAGGAGAAGGTCCCTCCTCCTCCCCCATTATCATTCTTCAGAAAGGAGGGAGTTACCCTCTATTCAAATCCTTACGAAGTCTCTTCTGTTAAGAGTATTAAGTACTACCTAATTACTTTATTTTGAACAACATATTGTATAGGAAAGACACATTAGCTTTAACAGATCTCAATCAATTCTAGTTTCAGATGCCTGTAGAAGTCACCAGAAAGAATTGGTGAGAGAGAGAATGAGAAAGAAAGACTATTAATGCAGCAATAATAATTATCCTTAGAGAAAAGATCTCACTTTTTCAAGTGTTAACTGCAAGCTGGCTTTTGAAAGATCCTTTAAAAATAAACATTTTGTCAGGTCACTACAGAACTGGGGAAAACACTACCCCAATATTTGTACCAGATATTTGTAGCTTGGGATAAAAACTGGGGTGCGTTGTATCACTTACTGATTTAGAAGAGCTCATATCCTAACCAATGTAGTTGGAAGGAAAGTTGACATCTCTGGAAAATGGTGTGTGATGGCTCAAAAAGAGGTTCCAGGGATCCTGGAGATATAGGCGAGAAAGCATGTGAGCAGTTTAGATAAAATTATGACATATTTAAGTATAAAATACAGCAATCTTTAAAAAAAGAATACCATATTCTGTGATTTGTGAAATTTAAATTATGTACAACTAAACTGACTATTCAAAACAATGAAAGTTTGTTTGCCTTAGCTAAGAATATTACATTAGGAAAACAGGGTAGAGTCTCCTTGTATCCAGACCTTTACAGTAAAAGGAGATGGAGCACATTTTCTTCTTGGGACATTTACACAGCTATAGGCAAGACTAAAATCTGAAGGAAAACCCGTTATGTGCATCATCGGCAATCAGTGAAATGGAGCAGTAGGGTCTATTTCAGGGAGAAAAGATTTGATTGTGCTGTCAGAACATAGAATACTGAGTACATGCTAGACATAGAAACTCATTGCCTTCCTTATCAAATGTTAGCTTAGCTAAGACTTTTTAAGTTCATTAATATTTCTTTGTAATTATAAAAGTCATTCTGCTGATTCTCATTATTTGTGAATTCACCTACTCGCTAAAATCTATTTGTAACCCCAGATCAATGCCGTGGTGATGCCATGGCGCTTGTGGATAGGCAGAATGGCCCAAAGTCTGAGTGGTCCGATGCACATATTCCCAGCTGAGGTTAAACAAAGCAATACTTTTCTTTCTTGTCGCAGGGTTCATATTGTATACAAGTTCGTTTAGAGGTCTGTTTGGTCACATTTTTCACATTTTTGTGCTTTTCATCAGTGATTTTACTGTTTAAAATGGCCCCCAAGTTCAGTGGTGAGGTGCTGTCTTGTGCTCCTAAGTGCAGGACAGCTGCCATGTGCCTTCTGCAGCAAGGGTGTTAGGGAAGCTTCCTGCAGGGGGGAGTCATGGAGCTGCTGGCTGTGAGTTCAGTGTTGATGAACCAGTAATATATATATTAAGTAAGGTGTGTTTATAAAGATATACATAAAACAAGGTTATGTACTGATCAGTTGATAAAAGTGTTGTGACCTGAGGCTCATAGGAACCTAACCTTCTATTTTCCCTTGAAACAGTGGTTCAATGCTTGTTAATTCAGTGTCCATGGCAACTTTATAGAACATAGCTACCATGAAGAATAGGGCTCTGCTGTATATGTGGCGCCTTCTGTTTGGATGTGCATTATGCTTATGAAAATGTCATAAACATTTTCCCAGGACGTATAACAATCTTAAGGTTATGTTCTAAAACTCAATGCATAGGGTAATTTACCATCATAAACCTAGGATGAGTGGATTGAAAACTTGTACTTCCAGCCAAAGTACTGAGGAAATTAATTAGAGAAAATTCCAGCAACTTGTGTGTGAGGTATCTAGGTATCTCCAAATGTGAAATGAAGGGAAGTTTTCACATTTCTTCTAGATGTTTGACAGGTGAAGAGCCTGCTGGTTGGCTCTATTTCTAGTCATATTTACTTGGTTGCTAAAACAGCACTTTCATCAACTTAATTATAAGGGGAAGTGAAGGACAGGGGTAAAGAGTTGGGAAAGTACAAAGTCTATCCACATGAGCGCTTCCTAATAAGTATTCTGAAGAGATCAAGTCCCACCAAAAGTTGGGACCCATGGTGGATATACCCATGGGATGCTCTTTAATTGACAATCCCTGTGAGACTTAAATCTAAGGAAAGTCTTATTACTCTATTTTCTCAGATATAATTAAGTGTGACTCTGGACCCCCGTGCACCTGAGAGGTAAGACATCTAAGCACCCTTATTTTAAGAGGCATTCTCTTCTTTCTCACCCTCAGTGCGAAGGTGGCAGGGAACACGTGGGGAGGGCTCTCTGGCTTTGGTGCCCAACCCAGTCCTACTGCTGCGCTCGGTTTCTAGGCTGGAGTGGCCCCCGTGGTGGTGGGACTGGGGGCAGTGCTCTGTTTGCAGCCAGACGTGGCCATTTGACTCTTGCTTGAAGTTTAGTTGCAGAAACACAGAGCCCTTCTCCCTGGGGGCCTGTCCCTCCTCAGGGCAGATGCCTCAAACCACAGTCCCCTCCTGTTGGGAACATCTCTGTTCCCCAGAGCTACCTGCTTCAGCCTCCCTCCTCCAAGCCCCACAGCCCCTTCCACTTCTTTAGCCAAGTAAGTTTTCTTAAATGCAAAATATTTGAACTGACCTTAGGCACAAGGGAAATTCCAAGTCTCCAACACAGAGGCCTGGGATTGGGGGGCAAAGCCCTCTTTTATTTGATCCTCCCCGAACCATGAAAATGTATCTCACTCCCTAAATGTTCTCCTTCCATCTTCTGCAAAATAGATGAGATGCTCAAGTCAAAAGAAATTTGCCAAAACAGGTGGATTTACTTATTTTGTAACTTCTCAGAACCTTTGTATGCTTGAAAGCACAGTGACTCTCCAGGAGGAGGTTGGAGCTGGGAGTGCGTCTCGGATGATTTGAACAGTGGAGCGTTTTGGATGTGGAGCACCTCTTGGGGTTGGTGCTGGAGGGCACCTGGGTACCCAAGGTGGTAGTGGCTTCTGAAGACCTTGAAGTTGGCTGTTGACTGGTTTCTTCCCCTTGGGCATATTCTCCCAGCAGAAAATGAAGTAATTTAGTTCCCATAGGTTCTTCATAGTCCACATAGGTTTAGAGAAATGATGTCCTCTGGGTCAGGTGCCATTGGTCTCCATGCAGAATGCCTGAAACATCCTGTGGTTCTAGGCTCCAGGTGCTCACAAGGGGGTGAGAACTTTGGGGACAGGCCTAGAGCTTGGGGCCTGGGACAGGGAAGATCTTCCACTTCATGATGTTGTTCTTGAGCCACAGGGACCTTTGGGAGCTTATAGCATATCCTTAAGGACTGCTGGGACGTACATTTATGGCCTATCCTTAAGGACTGCTGGGACGTACATTTAGAGACTCCCCTTGTGAGATGCGAGATGCTATAGAGCATCTGTCTCCAGGCAGAGCCCTTCCTTGACCACAGCACAGTGGTGCTGCCCTGAGGCATGAATGCACCAGGGCAGCGCTCACAGACAGCATCAGGCCAGGGCTGTGACTTCTGCTCGAGAAATGGGAGGCAGGGTGTGGGTCAGGGAAGTCTACAAACTCAAAGCAGATGGTTCATCTTCCAGGAAGATGTCTCATTCTCTCAGTGATCTTCTCAGTCTCAGGCTGAGGAGCAAAGAAGTCTAATGCCCCATGGACACTCTGACTGGCCTCTGGAGTATGAGCCGCATTATACCCTGGTGTAAGCTCTGCTACCCAGACAGAGAGCTGCACCAGCCTCCCCTCCCCCTGGCTGAGTTGAGAGTGTCCTGTGTCGTCCTAGAGGGATTCCCAAGCACTCCCGCCTGGGGGGCTGGAGCTAATGCACAGACATCCTTCCTCAAGTGGATGCGTGTCTAACATGGAGAGTATAAACGGCAACCTTTCCCCCTTTGGGCCTTCCCCCCACTAACATCTAGCAGCTTTCCTTTTGTGGATTATTTTGGCAGTAAACATGAGAAGACCCATGTAATTTTGATCACTTGAAGACCGTGAGTAATGCTTGCATCCCACTCTGTACTGTATCTGCCCATGTCACCATTTCTCTTTATTTCCTGTTACGCTCAATGAGATGGCTCTCTGACAGCTATCATCTTCCACTGGCACCCTGTAGTTTATAAGGAGGTTGCTGCCATGTGCTCTACCTACAGATGATTTGGAGTGATCAAAATCAACTTCAGGTCTCATTCTGTAAACAGAGTTTAACATAAATTGGACAGAAAAACCCAAGAAAACTTTCAACGCGGTGGGAAATCTGACATCCCACCTCTTCAGGCTTCCTCGTATCAGGATGTTCCCATATCTAGCCCAGTCTCAAAGCTCTTTGCTGTCCTGGCCCTAAGCACATTAACTGGGAATAACACCCAGATTGATATTTTCTGCCTTTGAACCACCCTACTTAACATGTTGTGTGACCTTGACTATTTTGGTGTCTGGCAAACCTATAAAGGATACATCCATGTTGCTGCCCATGGGAGGTTCCTTATGACGCTTCAGGGATAGGTTTCAGCCTTTTCTGAGTAGTAGACACAGCAGAACTTGATGGCAAAAGTCCTGAGTGTGAGACCCAATCCTGCCACCAGCTAACTGACCTAATCACCTTAGGCACATCACATAAACTTTCCAGGCCTCCATAGTTTTCCTCTTTAAGGTGGACATCACAGGGCACTGTGAGGAGTAAAAGATTACCCATTAAAATGGACATAGCATAAAGCCTGGCCATGAATGAGTGAATGGTAACTCCCTCTCTATTTTTATAAATTTCCCTAAGACTTGGTTTTCTCATTCATTCATTGGGGATAATCATTTCTGCTTAACCACCTCCGCAGAGGCCATGTTAGAATCAAACAGAACTCTATCTGGGAAGGTGCTCTGTCTGTAGGGGAATCTGCAGGATCACTCCATGGCTGTAGGGGCTCTTAGTTTCTGGAATCCTACATGGCTCACGGGGCTTCAGCCTGACGTGTGCAGTAACGGCTGTTGCCCATCAGTTGAAGAGACCCCCACTGCAATGCAGAGCCTGGTTTCTTCTGAATTCCTCTTGGAGACTGATGGGCTGTTGACTGTATGGGTTGGATGCCAAGAGCCTTGTCCAAGATGAGGCCCACTCTGGGCTGTGGATCCCAGAACCTCTTTTGACTCAAAGAAGGGGTTAAAGAAAAGTGATGACTCCACATGGGATGTGATAAATAGACTACTCTTGGTGCTGTCTGCAAGTCTAGAGCGCTCGCTCTCCATTCTTTGGTACCCTGTGATTTTCGGGGAGACAGGCAGACAGGGGGTTATGTGGGGCCTTCAGTGCCCACAAGGCCTCCAATGGAAGCTGTGGGGTGTGGTGTGCATGTGTGCACATGCCTTGCTTCCCTGGGTCACATCATCCTGGGAGGTTTGCCAAGAGTGTGTCTTCACGCCTTACAGGCTGTGAATCTTGAGAAAATTACTCTCTGATCTTTGGTTTCCTGTATTTCAAATTTGGGGTAGCCATATCTACCCAGTGTGCCTGTGGTTAGAATTAAATCTGAAAATGTGTGGATGAAGTTGAAAGTCATTTTTGTAAACTTTAAAATACCATGACTTTCATTGTCATCATCATAGTCATAGGCAGAAAGTGCAGAGGGTCAATTAACCCCATCACTCCGTTTGCCTGGGTGAAATCCAGGACTGTTTGTGGGTTAAGAGAGCCAGGTTCTGAGAGGCAGACCTGGGAAAGGAGGCAGCCAGTAGTTGACTAATCACCAAGGAGGGAAACAAAACTTGGCAATACTGTTTAGGTAAAGGGTGGGACCTGGAGTCCTTTGTCAGGGAGTGGAGGGGTAAGACCTTGGAGGAGCCTGGGGGGTCCAGAGGGGCCTCTCCTGAACCACTGTTCAGGGACTCTGACGAAGGAGACTTCTGCACCTGTGCAAATCAACAGACCACTGTATTGTTGACTTTGGCAAAATTATGTCTACAACTTGTGCCTATGTACTTATTTCAATCTACAGAGAAGGAGAGAGATCCGAGTGCCTGAAAAATGGTTCTGTAAATTATGAAATTGGCTGATACTGGAAAGTGACATGAAACAGGAAATGGGAAATTAAGTTGCAAGGAATAGGTTTTGTCAGACTAAATCGGAGATAAGCAATACCTGCTTCTCTCTTAGGGCCTATGCTCAAAATAAAATGAGTGCTTGGTGGCATGTGTGGTTTCTTGCTGGCATACTCTGATGTGTGAGATGTGTAGGCCATGGGGTGAGCACCAGAATGGAAATAAGAATTATTTTTTATAGCATGTCTCCTTAAGCTTCAGGGAGAGAGACCTCACCCCTTGCACATGCAAACATCAATTTGGAAGCTGAGGAAGATGATTTTCACATGCAAATGCATATGGGATGAAATGAGAAGATTTGATGAGCATACTGCTAAGGAGACACTAGCCACCTTCTCTTCCAATAGAAAGGAGCAAGGAGCTTGAGAGAAGCAGGGAAGGTAGAAACCTAGTGGGTTTCTTTGCTTACCTCCCTTGAACATGACTCTGCTTCCATGAAGCTCTCAGAAGTGTTTTAACTAAAGATTCACCTTGGCAGAAAATAAGGGACATTCTCTGTGGTGAAGTGAAATATATGGGTGTGGAGTCTGTGACTTCAAAGCCTGCTCTTCTATGTCCTGGCCATATGGTTTCACAGGATGCTGTCAGGATCCATGAGAGCACACTTTGAGGTCCCCAATGGTCCCCTGTGGACCACAGGCAACAAACTCAGAGAAGATGCAACAAATACATTGCATTTTCTAAAGTAGCAGTTTTGGTATTAATTCCTTATTCAAGCATACCTTTCAGGGCTCTGCCTTCCCACGTCACCTGAAGAATCTGGAATCTGTAGATTGCATGAAACTGCTACTTCCCTCACCCTCTCAAGTCTGCAGAGTACCTTATGGCCCAGAGCCTCTGCCATTCTGAGCAATCCTTGGGACACTAGAACTTTCCTTTCTGAGACACCTGGTCACTGTGTGCCCAGGTAAACCCTCAGCCACTCTTTCTCTTGCCCTGCTGTTTAGGGTACAAAAGGAACTCTACTCTTTCATCCCTTGACATTTTCCCCAACCTCCTCCTTTTATGCTTTTATGTTTCTGGTCAAGACACTGCTATTTGTGAATCTCTCCTCAGGCTACCTTGTGAACAAATGCAAGGAGGTCCCACAGATGGGCTCTGCCTTTG